TAATTCTGTCTCTCAGAGTGGGAATGCACCTACAATGTGAATTTCAGACCCCTCCATGATTTCTAAGTGGGAGAACTTGCAAAATCGCAGGGTGTTCAAATACTTCTGTTCCTCACTGTATACAGAGAGAAATCTCTGGGTCAGTTACAGCTTCCCATTTATTGTCAATGAAAACTTAGGGCTGTCACTCAGTACACCTCACTGTGTGAGACAGGCACTGAAGGAGCCCTACGAGGCGACGGCCCAGAGCTGGGGAAAGATCTACTCTATGCAGCAAGACCCTGATGACAGAGATTTTGACCCAGACTCACAACTGTTATCATTGTCATTCATAGGACTGGTGTTATGCCACTTTATTAAGTTCTGACATTTCAGGCGAGGAAGTAATTTGTGGTCAGTCTATCCAAGTAATGTCAATTTAGAAATTTGCTTCAAAGTTTTAAAAGATGTTTGTAATCATTATCGGACCAAGCTCTATTAGCAGACAGCTACAACTCATTCAGAGCACAGTACTCTTTCAGTGAGGACACCTGTGTGTCCATTACAGCTGCGTTTCCACTGTTGGAACCTAATGAGCGGTACACCCCGTGCTTCCCTTAACGTCACCCAGCATAACCTGATGGGTTGACACGAATCGTCCTACTTTTCTTTTCCACTGTATTATGCGCTGGGGAAAACAAATGTAATCATGCTGAAAATGCAATCATTTCAACATGGTATTTTTACTGTGTCAGGAAGAGCAAAGACAACACCAGCCAATTCAAATAAAATTTGTCTTTTACAGTGCCCAACTTAATATGAGTCATTACTTATTAGACTTGCAGTTTATTTGTATTAATGTTTGATTATTTAAGAATATTCCGGGTACTTTTCCTCTACTGTCCACAGTGGATAATATCAGATTGCTAAGCCTGAAGTTGTTTATTGGCACCTGCTGAAAACAAAAAATACACAAATTTAATTTTACACTCTCTCTGACCTCATCCAGGTACTTCTCTCTGATGTTGTTCATCTCCCTCCTGTGCTCCTCCCTCAGTTGCTCCAGCTTCCTCTCGTGATCACGCTGCACTTCCTCGCGCACTTCTTGGAGCACATCATCCAACTAGACAGTATTAGTAATGGTCAGTTTACAAAAAAAAGTTATAATATGGTGAAAATGTACTTAAAAATTCAAGCCTTTGCTCAAATTCGGAAAGAAATGCACATTATGATCATGTAATTCTGTTTGTACAGAATTTATCTCGGTGGTAGGGGGTGGGGGGGTCTCTAACCTCTCGGTGGTACTCTGCCAGGTGTTGTTCAGGTCGTGGACTCATCATCAGATCCTTCCTCCTCTCCCTGCTTTTAACCTTTATACAGACAAGACAGTGCAAACACAGAGACGGACACATTTACACAGATCATTACGCTGTGAACCATGAACCATCACAATAGAACAAACACAAACTTGTGGTTGTTTCCAGCTTTATCTGGTGTTTAGACAAATTCTACAACTTAAACTCCAAATGGGTCAAAGTTCATAAAGTGTTATTATCTGTTATTACCCAATCCTCTGCCTCTGAGCTGCATCTAGTGGAGTCACTAGAACTTGTGTGACATTACATATATCCATCCACAAGAATGGCTTCTGAAAACAGAGATCCACTTTGCTTAACAATACCTTTCTAATGATTTTCTTTGCCTGTGTAGAGCACTCTGAAATGTCTTGCTTAATAACAATGACAATATTTGACTTTTGTAATTCACTGATCTTAGATTAAATTCTATGTTGCACTAACATATGTTTGTCAAGCTCCTAGTATTTGTGTTTAGCTTCAGCTTTGGTTTGTTTGGAAAGAGACACCCCTCATTACTCATGCACAAAAGTGATCTCAAAGCAGTCATGTCCTGTGAAAAAACAAGATGTAAGCACTGAAATGTTGATAGTGGTATAGAAGATGAATAGATGAATGAATGAATGAATGAATGAATGAATGAAATGTTGATTAAAAGGGGAAAAAATAAAAAATGAACTGGGCCCAGACAGGTCAACATCATCCTGAGTCACCTCCTGGTCCAGAGAGTTCAGTTTCTCCTCCCTCTCTCCCTGGAGTCTCTTTCTCTCCGCTCGCAGCTCCGCTTCAGATTCTGCCCTTAGACGTTTAATGTCCTGCCTCTTCTGGGCCTCTAGCCTGTCATGCTCCGCTGCTCGTTCTTCCTCTAAAGTGATCCGCAACCCCTTTAGCATGGCTGCACTCTCCTCCCTGGTCGCAGAACACACATGAGATACTAACATGGAAAAGTCTGTATTGCAGATTTAGCCCCACAATAAGAACCACTGCTCTAGTGTGCTTTTGTTGTATGTGTTAGTGTGTGTGTCTGACCTGAGCCTTTGTTGCTGCTTCTCTCTCTCCTTCTGTACAGACTCTCTGAGCTCCTCCAGGGTCCTCTCAGACTCTACATTCAGCCTGACCTCCTCCTCTTTCCTCTGGGACAGGATATGCTGCCGCAGAGCCCTGAGAAGGTGCCCATATGTGTGTATTTGTGGATTACAACATGGTTCTAACAGCAACTTTTAATAACTTAAGTAACTGCTACATAAACTGACACTATATCACTCTAATGTGATAAATAACACATAACAATAAAAGCAAGAGTGGGAAGTAAACGACAGTTTATACAGTTCTAGTTTGGGGAGAACCACAGTGTTATAGTCTACTCTCCATTTCTACCTCAGTCTTTCCTCCTTCTCTTCCTTCAGCTTCCTCTCCTCCTCCTCCTCTTTTCTCCTCAGCTCCTCCTGGAAGACACGCATCCTTTTCTCTTTCTCCCTTCTCATTCGCTCCCTCTCTTCTTCCACCTCCTGATCAGCCTTCCTCCTCTCCCTCTCCTTCTCCTCCTCCCTTTCTCTCAGACTCCTCTCTTCCGTCTCTGCACTCTTCCTCTCCTCCTCCTCTTCTTTCTTCCATTCTTTCGTCTCAATGTCTTCCCAGTTTCTCAGGCTCGACTCTTCATCCAGTGAGTTGTTTTTGTTTTGTAAGGGGAGTTCAGCATTTTCAAGCTGGGTGTTGGTGGTGCGGACCAGACGACCTCTGGCAGTTTCAGGCCTCTGTAGCTCCAGAGAAATGCCAAAACCTTTGGTTTTTGGTTGGAGCTTGACACCTTGCTCTGAGTGGGATGAGCTGGAAAGGGAGGCTGAAGGGCTGGACTGATGGAGGATGAGCCGGTCAACCTTATGGGCCAGAGGGTTGCCTTTGTCTTCAGACAGCATATGCCTAAAGAGTGAGAGAGAGAGGAGGTGTTTTAGTAGTTCCAAGATAAAGAACATGTTAAATATCCTAAGATTGTACACAACCTTTCAATGTTATTCTATCATTGTTAAAGCTGTGTACATTTAGTGCCTTTCTTTTGACACAGCAGCTACATGTTTCACCAAATATTAATTTAATAGTTGTAACTTCTACATAAGAAATATGTGCATTTGAAACAATAACAATATTTACAACAGATTTTTATTCAAAGCTGAGATCAATGTAAACAACAGGTAATCAAAAGCACTGCATCACAAATGCCTCTAAAATGTAACAGCAAAAACACAATTCAACACCTGATAAGGACAAACTGGTTCAAGAGATGAAAATAAGGCAACCTAGTCTGAGCAACTAGTTCTTTTTCAAGAACAATATGAAAACAACAAGAAACCTCTTAGCAGCCTCTGCCTTCTTTGTCTTTCTCCCCTGCTCCTCTTTGTATTTTGTTTCCTCTCTGTTCTTCTTCTCCAGTGGCCTGACTGCACCATTCAGCTTGTTGATGCCCAGACCCTTCTCTGACAGCTTTAGGATACAAAACCAGAGCCATTACAAAACAGGCTGAGAACAAACTTTTGAATGAATTAATGCTTGTGGATGGATATCATATTGGTTGACATACTGTAACTACCTTGACATCATCTATGGAGGATGACGCTTTGTCAGTGTTCTTACCGGCCTCAGACTCCTGCAACAACACACACACACACACACACACTCTGGGCCTCTAGCCTGTCATGCTCCTGTGAGGCGTTTTCTTTATATTGAATAGAGAGGATTAATAAAAGTATATTTCACAGTGTGAAATTTATTATGCATTAACGTATCAAAATTATCATGTGCACATGGATCTTCACTGTTTAGGAAAAACAGAAAAGACTAACTCCAACTTGGCGGTATACAATATTTGTATGAAAATGGTCAAAAACTGTTGGGGAGACGCTGTGGTTTAGACTTAACTCTCCCGTTATTGGTCCTTCAGTCCGTCCATCCTCCAGCGTCCTTTCTGCTCCAATCGTCGAGGACAGTGCCCTAGTAAGGGGAGGAATACCTATACTGTCTTAATTTCTACATAGACACTTACTTCTTCCTTTGTTTCCAACTAACTGCTCCATATTAGGCATTACTTTCCGGTTCATCAATTAAAACTGGTCTGCCTGTGTGTGTGTGCATGATGGTTCTATCTTTGAGGCTTTCTCCCCCTCAAACTTCCAGATCTAATCTCTGTTTAACTAACCTTGGAATCCCAGTGAACTATAACTCCCCTGGCCCATTAGCCAGGTGGTGATAATAAATTAACTGTGGACCCTCTTAGCCAGAGCTGTAAATCTAAGGAGATTCACTGATTTAGTGAACAAGACACTATAATGTTGAAGAGTGCTTTAGTGACTAATACAACAAATATTTGACCAGTGATTCAGTGAACACATAGGGTGATGTAAACATAACTGTGACATATGAGTATATAAACTTATGTGTGCCATAAAATAAAACCATTCATAAGTGCATAAAATAAAAATCACCCTAACAAATCCCTCCTTTTACACCTTTTAAGGTGTAAACCAATGTGACTTGATTATAAGCAAAACATTATAAAGGTATTTACTGGTGACTCAAACTCATGACAGTTCCAATTAAAACATAATTGCGAAAACATAGTGAAACTCATCCTCTGCATGAGCTGTGACTTTTGACCGTTACTGGGCCTATCTAGGCCATCAGCCGACATCTCTGGTCCCAGGCCATCACAGGGAAATCTAACAAAATCAACTCAACCACAATTAGAAATGTAATAAAAATATAAATGAAATTAGAAATGTAATAAAAATATAAATTAAATTAGAAATGTAATAAAAATATAAATGAAAATAAGTCTGAATATGAGGGTTCTTTGCCTCATGCTCCATCACACACAACTATCATTGTTAAAGCTGTGTACATTTAGTGCCTTTCTTTTGACACAGCAGCTACATGTTTCACCAAATATTAATTTAATAGTTGTAACTTCTACATAAGAAATATGTGCATTTGAAACAATAACAATATTTACAACAGATTTTTATTCAAAGCTGAGATCAATGTAAACAACAGGTAATCAAAAGCACTGCATCACAAATGCCTCTAAAATGTAACAGCAAAAACACAATTCAACACCTGATAAGGACAAACTGGTTCAAGAGATGAAAATAAGGCAACCTAGTCTGAGCAACTAGTTCTTTTTCAAGAACAATATGAAAACAACAAGAAACCTCTTAGCAGCCTCTGCCTTCTTTGTCTTTCTCCCCTGCTCCTCTTTGTATTTTGTTTCCTCTCTGTTCTTCTTCTCCAGTGGCCTGACTGCACCATTCAGCTTGTTGATGCCCAGACCCTTCTCTGACAGCTTTAGGATACAAAACCAGAGCCATTACAAAACAGGCTGAGAACAAACTTTTGAATGAATTAATGCTTGTGGATGGATATCATATTGGTTGACATACTGTAACTACCTTGACATCATCTATGGAGGATGACGCTTTGTCAGTGTTCTTACCGGCCTCAGACTCCTGCAACAACACACACACACACACACACACACACACACAGAATACACTCAGTGGCAAGGTAACTGTTCTGAATGCACAAAACAAAACTGCAATGAACATTGAAGCATGCTGACACAGAAACACACACTGCACAGGGCTGAAGCAGAGTGTATAGTACATGCAAACATAGCCAATGCTGGTGAGCTGGTACGCATACTCTAAAATCAAACAGTCAAACAGAAAGACTCAGAGCAATGGTGGGAGAACAGAGTCCTGTACCTGGTCAAAACAGATAGACTATCAAATGCCTACACTGTCAATGGGCAGAGGGATCAGAACCTTTCCAATCCAGTCCTCAAGGCCTCAAAAGGATTGGCCTTTCACCAATTTGTATTCAGTGTGTGTGTGTGTGATGAAATCCAAGCTGGGAATCCCAGAGGCTGAGTCAGCCTCTAAGACAGTGGAATTGTATCTGGGATTTGCATGTACCCA